GAATCTTGTGCCCTTGAATGAATCATGGTATGAACCCAACTCTTTTTTAAAAAATATATTTTTATTAATTTTTGAGAGGAGGGAGATGGATAGAGAGATAGAAACATTGATAAAAGAGAAATATCGATCAGCTGCCTCCTGCATGCCCCCTATGGGGATCAAGCCTGCAACCAAGGTACATGTCCTTGTCAGGAATTGAACCCAGACCCTTCCGTTGGTGGGCCAATGCTCTATCTACTGAGCCAAACCAATGAGGGCTGAACCCAATTCTTGATGAGTTTTGTTTTCTTCTCATCCAGGGACCATGATGGTTCACAGTGATCACTCTTTTAAACTCCTTTAACATTTCTCTCCTGTGTAGACATATCGATGAACTCAAGGTTAGTGCTCTTTCCAAAGCCCTTACGACCCTTATATATATGGTTTTTCTCCTGCAGGAATTCTGCTCTGACTGAAGGAGCCCTGAGCACACAACGTCATGTTGGTAGAGTTTCTCTCCAGGCTCACAAGCTGAAGAACAGAGCAGCCATGAATCAAGTCCTTGCCACACCCTCTCCACACGGGACAGTTTCCTGTGTGGACTTTCTGGTGAGCATGAATGTTTGTGTTTTAAGAGTTCCACATTTAAACCGCTTCTCTTGTGTGGGCTCTCTGATGTGCTTGGAGATCCATGTTCTGACAGAAGCCCTTCCCATACTCAGCACATCTGTAGTTCCTCTCCAGTGTGGACTCTCTGATGGATGCAGAGATTGGAGCCCTTGCTACACTCCTCGCACTTAAAAGGTTTCTCTCCTGTATGAACCCTCAGATGAACGCGAAGATTTGTGTTATAACTGAAGCCTTTGCCACGCATGTCACATACTAAAGGTTTCTCTCCAGGGTGGACTCATTGATGATAGTGAAGATCTTTGCTCCGACTAAAGCTCTTGCCACACTCAGCACAGTCGTGACATTTCTTTCCTGGGCAGAAAACGGGATGCTTTGGGATTGAGAAAAGGTTTACAACGATGAAAAATATGATTGTCAAATTTTAAAATCTTAATGGCGGGTGCAAGCAATAGAATATCAGACTAGAAAATGTGGAAAACTCTGTTAATCGATTAAAAGACATAGGGGAGGGGGCACAGGATAGGAAAATTAGAAAATACCTGGATAGAGGATGTTAATGCTGCCTTTTGTGTTCCTTTAATAACATGATCTTAGTGCAATGCATAGTTTAATTTTGTTAGTTTAAATCGTCATTCCTCCACTAATCCGTAATAAATATAGTTTATGGGTTTTAGTCTTAAGGGTAATAGAGTGAATAACTTCCAAATAGAAAAGTAAATAATCTTCCTTGATATTTAATAATATTATGGTTAATTCTAATTTAAAAGTACTTTGAATTCTAATTTTAAAATAAATGCTGATTATGGTCTAGAACAGTGGTCGGCAAACTGCGGCTTGGCAAACTGCGGCTTGTGAGGCACATGCGGCTCTTTGGTCCCTTGAGTGTGGCTCTTCCACAAAATACCGACTTCTGTGTATGAGCCACGAAGTTTCAATCGCACTGTACATGCGCACCCGCACGTGGTATTTTGTGGAAGAGCCACACTCAAGGGGCCAAAGAGCCGCATGTGGCTTGCGAGCCGCAGTTTGCCGACCACGGGTCTAGAATATTATGAACTACTACTAACATGTCATTTATTTTAATAAAGAGCTATTAGGAGAGGAATGTATCACCTGAGTGCCCAAATTCCAAATTAGATACCAAAAGAATATCGATCATGGTCTGGAACCTGGGCATTGGGGGATATGCACAGGAAAAACATGCGTCATACCTACTTGAAGGGAAAGAAGGGATCACTTAATGCCTAATGCCCACAGGGCCCAATAATTTAAGTGTAATGCACAGTTTAAAATTGTCACAATATAGCTCGTCATTCCTCCACTAATTTCAGATTCAAATATGAATTTGAAAGTTTCCTGAGTGTTTAATTTTCGAAGAATGAGTGTATTTTGTAGTCAGTCATAAAGTATTGGGAATGTACTTTGCTGTCCAAAGTAGACTTTGATTCTGTAAACTATGGAGAATAAAAAGATAATCTGAAGGTGTTTGAATCAAAGGCTACTTTCTCCCATATATTTTAACTAGAAGTCTATTTGTAACTCTTCCTCTCCAGTCTTCCCTGGGTTTCATTTTAACTAGCCACCGCTTAGGACAAAGATGCCCACTTGCTGTGCTGTCCCAGATCTTGCCACATTCAAACCTCCCTGATTGCCTTAGATAGCTTGTCTAGTCAAGGACTGGGAACATGCCAGAGGGAACAAAGTAACCCTGTTGGATAGAACGTTTGACTCTGGGTCTCCAAATAAGCCAAAAGCAGGTACAGAAATTTTGGTTGTTGATTCCTGTGTTCAGAGTGGCCTTGACCTCAGTTCTGACCTTGATTGAGCACTCTATTTATAGGAAATTTTGAAGTCAGACTAGAATCTTCTTTGTCCTATGAGATTTTTTTTGTAAGGCAGTGTGCTCTTTCTTAAACACTTTGTGAGTGAATAACCTTATTAAATTAGCTGCCAGTTCTAGAACCTTCCAGGAATTTTAACTAGTATGCTGCATTTGAAGCACTTTGACATGTATATTTAAAGTGACAGTTTTAACAATAAAATGGTGTTAAATTAGTCACTGTGAAACTTGAAAGTTTGATGCTCTACATTTTAGGAAGCTTAAGTAGATTATTTTCCTTTATTAATTATAAAATGTGATTTGTATATTTTACTTTTCATTTTTGACAGTGGTTCAAATGATTGACATATCAGCAGGCAATTACTTTTAGGCTGTATGGTAACTCATGGTTGTTTAACTTTTCCAGAGAAAGTGGTGATGTGTTTACTTTTTCCTTGCATGGAGCCATGGGATTGGATTTATTGGCTAATTCATTTCCAGTGTTGCTACAGTGCAAAATAAATGTAACCTTACTTTTTAACCTGCATGCTAGTAATGTGCTTTGTTTTTAGTAAACAAATATGCAAAAGATAAAAAAAACAAAACAGCACACTACTGGCATAAAAACACATATAGGTCAATGGAATAGAATAGACAGCCCAGAAATAAATCAATGCCTTTATGGTCAATTAATATTTGACAAAGGAGGCAAACGCATACAATAGGGTAAAGATAGTCTATTCAACAAATGGTGTTGGGAAAATTAGACAGATATGTGCAAAAAAAGAAACTAGACCGCCTTCTTACACTATACACAAGAATAAACTCAAAACGGATTAGACTTAAATGTTAAAACTTGAAACCATAAAAATCCTAGAAAACCTGGGCAGTAAAATCTCTGGCCTTTCCCATACCAATATTTTTTCCTGATATATTGCTTCAGGCAATGGAAACCAAAGATTTTAAAAATAAACAAATGGGACTGCATCAAACTAAAAGTGTTTGCACAGCAAAGGAAACCATCAGCAAAATGAAAAGGGAACCCACAGTATAGGAGAACATATTCCCCAGTGATACATCTAAGAAGGAGTTATATCCAACATTTATAAAGAACTTATAAAACTAAACACCAAAAAAACCCAAAAAACAAAAACAAGAAATGGGCAAAGCTCATTTACAATAAACACTTCTCCAAAGAGGACACACAGATGGCCAATAGACATGAAAAGATGCTCAATGCCACTAATCATCAGAGAAATGCTAATCAAAACCACAATGAGATATCACCTCTCACACGTCAGAATGGCTATGATCAATAAATCAAAAAGCAACAAGTGTTGGTGAGGATGTGGAGAACAGGAGTCCTCGTTGGTGAGAATGCAGGTGGCTGTAGCCACTGTGGAAAGCAGTATGGAGTTACCTCAAAAAGTTAAAAATGGAACTGCCTTATGACTCAGTGATTCTACTTCTGGAAATATACCTGAAGAAACCTAAAACACTAATTCTCAAGAATATATGCCCCCCTATGATCATTGCAGCATTATTTACAGTAACATAAAATAAGGCTGTGTTACATTTACGCAATGGACTACTACTCGGCTGTGGAAAAAAGGAAATCTTTCTTATCCTTTGCAACAGCACAGATCAACCTGGAGAGCACTAAGTGAAATAAGCCAGTCAGACAAAGACAAGTGCCATTTGATTTCACTCATATGTGGAATCTAATGAACAAAAGAAACAGACTCACAGACTGACAGCTATCAGAGGGGGAGAGACTGGGGGGCTAGGCGAGAAAGGTGAGGGATTAAGCAACACACACACACACACACACACACACACACACACACACACAGAAGCCTGGTGATTATCAGATGGGCCTGGGGTTGGGGAGAGTTAGGAGGGTATAGGAGTGATAAATGGTGATGGAAGGAGACTTGGCTTGGGGTGGTGAACACACAATATACAGATGTTGTATTCTGGAATTGTACACCTGAAACCTACATGATTTTGTTAACCAACATCACCCCAATAAATTCAATAAAAATAAATTTTAAAATTTGTCAACAGACAAGATTTAATTTAGATTTGTAAGTTCTATTACGCTTGTTCAAAAAAGCACTATCTCATCTATAACCATTATTCAACATTACTCTTCAAAAAAAATGGCTAATGAAGAAATAATGCAACATAGTTGTAAATGAGCTTAAGTCTGTGAGGAGGAGGCTCGATTTCTGAATTTAGGTTCGTTGTTTTAGCACCACTCAAGAAAAGGCATAATATTCCTTGACATTACCAAGGAATATTATGGACAATAAAACCTTTAGCCTAAATGATGGATGATTCATTCTTTTAAGGGAATATGTGGAACTTACAAAAATGTCACATTCTAGTCCTAGCTGGTTTGGCTCAGGCCTATGGACCGAAAAGTCCCAGGTTCAATTCTGGTCAAGGGCAAATGCCTACACTGCAGGCTTGATCCCCAGTGGGGGCATGCAGGAGGCAGTCAATCAATGACTCTATCTCCTCATTGATATTACTCTCTCTCTCTCTCTCCCTCTTCCTTCCTCTCTGAAATCAATAAAATATATTTTTAAATATCACATTCCAAAGCAAAGTTGCTGTGCAGAAAAACTTGCTCTTTTCAACTTGATTAATGCTGCCTATGTTGTCATATAGAAAAGTCCAGGCACTCCTAGGAGATAAATCTGTGTCAATTTCTTGAGTTACAAGATATTATGACACCCTACTTTACTAAAATCAAATATAGATGACGCTCCAGTTAGATACTTGAGCTATGCTTACCTTATGTAAACACATCAGTGAAAAAGAACAGGAATGTTAGCATGCAAATGTTTTATTTACATACTTATTTAAATACTTATTTTCCTCAATGGAATGCTTATTGTAATACAGAATACAACTGCTTTTTCCCCCCCTCAATTGGTATCTTGTTAAATTTTGTTTTCGTGTTTACATACATAGGAAAACGTCCTATAACAAGTTTTATAATTAAAGAGACTCTGGGATTCAGTAACACTGCTGTGACCATTAAAAGTGCCAGCAAATGGATATAAATATTACTGAAATTCATACTTCATATTAAACACAGTTTTTCCCTTGCATGTTATTGTTAGGATTGGAAGAAAAAATGGTGATACTTACTGCAGAAATGCAATAGATATAATTTAATATTATGTATAAACATATTTTATACTCACACATACATGAATGTACAATTTGTTATAAAAATAAAACAATCAGGGATAGTAAATGTAGTCTTCACTGATTCCTTGATTATTTAATTTATGCTTACTTTCAATGCTCTACGCTCTATTACTTATGATTTAATGATTTCTGTGATCTTTTCTGTAAATAGTTTATCATCACTTCCAGATGATTGGGATTATCTTTTTATGGAAATCTACTCTTTCCAAATTCATTCTAATTCTTAGATTTCTCCTCACCATGAAATCTGTATTTAATAAAGACATTTAATATCTAAGACTTTCTCATATTTATAAGGTAAATATTACATATGAATTTTTTGATGCACAATAAGGTTTGACTTCTGGGAAAATGTTTTCCCACATTTGTTACATTCATAGGGCTTTTCTCCTGTATGAGTGATCTGATGTCTAAGGAGATGAGACTTCTTGATGAAGGCTTTGCCACATTCAATACATCCATAAGGTTTTTCTCCTGTGTGAATTCTTTGATGCGTAACAAGCACAGATGTGTTGCCAAAGGCTTTGCCGCATACAAGACAATGGTAGGGTTTCTCTCCTGTGTGAAATCTAGAGTGTTTATAAAGGGATGAACTATACCTGAAGGTTTTCCCACATTCCTTACATTCAAATGAATTCTCCAGTGTGTGAGATTTCACATGTTGAGTAAAGGAGGAGTTCCACGTGAATGATTTCCCACATTGACTGCATTCATAAGGTTTCTCTCCAGTGTGAAGTCTCTGGTGGACCATGAGCTGTGTTTTATGCATAAAAGCTTTCCCACAATCAATGCATACAAAGGGTCTCTCTCCATTATGAATTTTCTGGTGAGTTGCAAGGTGTGCCTTCCTGCTATAGGCTTTCCCACAGTCACTGCATTCAAAGGGTTCTTTTCTTGTATGATTTTTTTCATGTCTAATTAAATGAAACTTCTTTTTGAAGACTTTCCCACAGTCCTTGCATTCATAAGGGTTTTCTCCATTATAACGTCTATTATAATTAAGTAAGTCTAAAGTAGGTTGCAAACTCTTCCCATGTGATTTGCCTTTATATGATATTTTTCTTGCATTTATATGATTTTTTCCAATATGACCTGTGCTCATATTATAACTATGGAGTCTCTCCATAGTCAGAATTTTACTGAATGTGAACAAAACTGAATTCAAAAAATTGTCTTCGCTTTCCTGGTGCTTCTCTGATTCATCAATAAATGGGCAGTCAGCTTCTAAAAAGGAGTACAATGAAACATTGCTGGTTAATTTTTTCTATCAAGAGTTATAGAAAGAAACTTATATGACTTCAAACCTAATCTGTCATTTTGAAACAAATCCTCTCTTTGCCCTGCTCCTGAGCTTTAAGAATACTCTACAAGGGAAATGGGAGCAGATGAACGACAGTAACGAGAACAGATGGCTTAACCTGTGACTTGTGGGAAAACAGTAAAATAGGCGTAAGGTTCAGTGAGTAGGATACAAAGGAAGTCAAAGGCTGCTCAACAAGGGTGCCTTGTTAGCTCACAGAATGAAGAGAGCCATTGTGGAGATCGGATTAATGGAAAGGGGAACAAGAGACAAGTGAGTTAAAGGAAAAAATGTCAGAGGAAAAACTAGATTTGGAGGAGGCTGATCAGAATCACAGTCTTGACTACCTAATTTCTAGGTTACCGTATTAGGATAGCTCCGTATTTCCCTCATTCACATCTCCTTTTCCTCTTCATCACCTGGCACAATGTCACTTTCCTTCAGGAATATTCTTATATCTCTCGTACTCTAACCCCATCCAAACTAGAACTGAGAGGTATCTGTAGACAGGGTTCCAACTTAACTATAGCTGGGATTCATTCCCCCATATACTTACTTGTAAGCACAGGAACACAAATATCTAAACGGGTCATTCAAGGGCAAGTTATCTTTAGCCCAAGCATAGATTCTGTCTGCATGCTATCATTTTTATTCTGGCTGGATTTCTATATATGAAAATTATGTCATATTTGTATTTAACAAGAACTGTTTTTACATCCTATTTCAATCTGCCTAACAAACTAATCCCCAGAAAGCTGCCTTGGTCCTGAAGACACCCCATAAATCCCAAATCCATTGCTCCATTTTATAAAAGAAGAAAAGACAAAAACAGAAAGAGGGGGTTTTAATTCCCTGTTTCTGAGATTCCTTCCATGTGGAGTTTTAGCACAAAACCCTTAGCCTCTTGCTCCATGCCTTATCTTTCTGTATGGAGCTAGACTGAGTAGTAAGCTATCGATATTAATACACATGCCTTTATAGAGTGGCTCTAAGTATGGGTGTTGGGTTTCCGTCTTCTCTTTCTTCAAGCAATGGGAAAGCAGCGTCCTGTGTTACCTCAATCAATAATAACCAACTGAAAATTCCAGGGTAATTAGCCTGATGAACAAACTATGCGATATAATGAGTTCACTCATGGTATCTAAGTATGTATTCTTCTAGTCCTCAACAAAGACCTTCTGTTCCAAGGATTCTACTTTTTAAAAAATGTTTTTATTGATTTGAGAGAGAGAGAGAAGGAAGAGGGTAGAGAGATAGAAACATTGATGATAAGAAAAACATCAATGGGCTACCTCCTTTATGCCCCCTTCTGGGTATCGAGCCCACAACTTGGACATGTGCCCTGACCGGGAATCGAACCAACAACCTCTTGGCTCGTGGATCGACACTCAATGGCTGAACCACACTGACAGAGCTGTTCCAAGGATTCTAGACTCTACATAACTACAATCTTCTGCCCCCCTTCATCCACTCTCATCCTATCTAGTACTTAGATATTTTTAGGGAGGAGCCATTGTTCCATGACCTCAAAAAGAGACTCCTCCAATTCTTGCATACTTTAAACTTTTAAGCCCATTTCTCTGAATGTCTAAGATAGTCACTGCTGCTTCCTAAATCATGCATTTTAACAATTAACTAGAACAAAACTGCAATGTTATCATGCACTGAACAAATGTTCCACACTCAACTTATATTTTACATGGCTATGTTTTGCCTTTTTAACTATAATTTACATATCTGGAAAAAGGCAATAGGTTTTTTTCTTTCTTTCTTTCTTTCTTTCTTTGAATGTTTCTCAGGAAATAACAAAAAGCTTTTTTGAAAGAAAGAATAAGAAATAGCTCCACAATGCCTGACTTTACAACAATGAATTAATGAAATGTTCACTAAATACCCATTATGTGCTCAACAATGATAAAGAAGGAAAAACTGATATAGGTCTTTCTCTTCAGGGTGTTATCATAAGAAAACATGCCTTAGAAGCCATAGGGCTTTTAAAGATTAATATTATCCCTATCTTATAAATAAAATTGTGCTACAAAGTAATTAGGCTAGACAGTGATTGGTGGAATAAGACTTCAAAAATCCACACAATCTGACTACCCTCTAAGATAAGCATGTCAAACTCGTGGCCCACAACGAATATTTTTGTGGCCCAGCTAATATAACGGTATGTAAGAAGCATTTTAATAAAAATTATGTAACTTAATTTTTACAATATCCTGTTATACATAATTATTG